CCTTCCCCCACCCCCCATCCCCCACCCCCACCAAGCAGAGCAAACCATCAGTCTATCCTGAGTCATATAAAGGGCATAAGAGAGTCTCAGGCAAAATGATGACAGATTAGCCAGAGAGTTCTGACTTCTATTTCTAAGAATAATTCTCAGACGAGACGAGAATTTTTTTTTAATGGCATTTGGCTGTCATCTGAAGAACACCAGAAGGATATCAAAAACACACTTGGTTCAAAGAGTGCTTTGTGGTTACTACCATACACACCTGCTAAGCCGAAAAATATCACAAGCTGATAAAACAGTGTAAAAATAGCTCTCTCGCCCAAGATAGCTCATTTTCAGGCAACTTAAAAAATATCTCAGGAAATAAACAAACCAGAGTGTTGTTACAAGTGCTTATGCCCGCGTAATGATGTCAGACATTTTCTTCTCTTAAGGAAATCTATTTCATATTGACTTTGGACACATTCTTGGGAATTACAAAAGTTTTCTGGGCATCAATAAAGAGAGAGTGCCGTTTGTACTAACCCCAGACTTCCTGTTTGTGATGGGAACTTCTGGAAAGAAGACAAGCCTGCACTTCCAGAAATTTCAGGTAACTGGCCTCCCTCTTCATTGCCTCTGCCTCCTCCCAGAGTACCAATCAGATAGTGCCTTCAGAGCACAGCAGCCTTCCCCCTCACTCCACGTTAAGGCTTCTCTGCTTCTGCCTACCCTCCCTCCCCTCTGTTCCCTCCATTCCATCCCTGAGTACAAAACGTGGTTTCCCATCTAAAACCAACCAGGAAGCGAGAGAGAGCATTCCGTAATCAAATAGAGAGCAAATAGAGAATGCCAGGATGGCACTGTGCCCAAAAGGGGCTTTCAGGAGGAGCGTCTGGTAAGCAGGTTTAGCCTTTGAATATTTATCAATTCAAGACTGTCTGGAAGATCCAAATTCCACATGTATTTTTTCAGGACTCTCAAACAATTGTGAGCTTCTGATTTTTGCTGCAGGTGTGCGTTTATCAGGTTACTACAGAGGGAATTCTGGCCGCACCACTGTATGTAGTCCCCTTTCGGTGAAGGACAGTCTCTTCCCTCACTTGATCCTGTCAACTCCACTGCGGGTTGTACAGAAAAGCTCAGGCCTGTCCTGCTCACCTGTAAACAAGCTCCTGCATGGATCACCCCATCTCCTTGGAAGTGTTCACATCCTGCTTTCTTTGTCACTCCTTCCTGGTCTCCATCCACTTTTGACTATCAAATATTTCAAAAACGCAAGGAGTAAAATTTTCACGCTTGCAAATTTAATAACTGTGAAGGAACAGACCTTGAAATTACTACGTAATGACTACATAAAATACCTATTTATAGCCCACACAGACACGAAACAGATCAGTAGAGGCAAAGAGGGATTCCTTTATATGCACAGGCGCCTTGGGTCACCTTTAAAGAGTGCCCCCGCCCCCTGCCTTCCCCACTTTAAGCCTGTCTTAAACCCAGTGTGGCTTGCAATTAGGTCAGGAACAAGCCTTTTTTCAGAGTCTCTTCTTGAGTTCCCTGTTATCCTTGGGACATGGCCTGGGCCTTGAAATTGCGTGGAACAGGAACTAGGATGTATGTATTGTTTTGAAACCTGCCTGTTCTTGTTTGTTCTCCCGGCTGATTTCGATTTGATTACAGGACTTACCCGTCCTCCAGCCCCCACAGTTCTAGGAGCCTTGTCAGAGAAACTGAGATCTTTGGGGCCAGATGGTCTTAGGATTTTTTAGTGTGTGTTTCTGGGTAAACTCAACTGGGTTTCAGACTATTTCCAGGGATTTGACACATTTCAGTCCTGTTTTTCTTTAAAGTTAAAAATCACATATGTTGACAACTTCCTGGAACAGAAAAATGGTTCCAAAAATAATAATAATAACCTGGAAGAATTTTACCATTTAAAGAAGTGGGGGACACTCAATTCTCCTGCAGAGGAGGGGGTTCATCTACCTAGCTTCAAGCACAGCGGCAATCCTGCCACCCGGAGAGGCAGGCGCAAAGGCATCTGCCCTCGCTGGCAGGCTCTCCTGCTTTCTGTGCCTTCTCTTCCTTTTTGTCAGCATCGCTCCCCAGAATGACCACCCAGAGCACCCGTGCCACCCCTAAAATCCCAGCGGCACTTCTTCCTGTAATCTTCTTTGTTGTTAAGTTTCAAAATATTCTTTAATGAAAAGATTTGGGATGTGGGAGGCCAAGGAGAGGTTGCTCCCGGCCCCAGGCAGCTTCCACTCCAAGCATGAAACCTTTGCAAGGCGCCTTTGTGCCAACCTCTTGGTCTGGGGCCAGTTCTCCGTCCCTGTGACCAAAGCTGCTTTCTTAAAATCACTAAAACCTCTTTTTTTTTAAGGGATTTTTAAAGGGATTATTTGAATGAAATGTGTAGAATGCTTCCCCCAGTGCCTAGACCACAGCAAGGGTCTTCCAACTTTGAAAACTTTTAAGTTGAGAAGCCCTCTTAGAAATGAGATCTCAAGTCCAATGGCAACATATGAAACACAAGAAAGTAGTAGCATTGTTCTGGTTAAAGAGCACGCGGGGGTCCAAGCTCTGCCTGCTTGCCCCCACCCCCCAACATGCGCCCTTGTCTGCCCCCACCCCCCACCGGACAACAGGAAAAACAGTGGACATATATACATCTATGTGTACAATTATACAGACACAGGCTTTCTAAAGTTTCCAGCTTGATAAAGATGAGCAGCAGGTTTTTCGTCATTTGACTCAGACCTTGTGACAATTTTTTTTTTTAAACACACTACTAAGCCTTCCGGATGTTTTTCTGTTTTTTAGTTTTATGTTCCCTTTTTGAGATGACATCCTTCAGGCTCTGGGAGTACATCTCTAAACCCTCTAAATAGCAACGCAGGATCATGTATACTAAAACTGCCACTTTTAGGTAGGCTGGGAAATGTTGTATATATTTACATTTTGAATCAAAGGCGTCCTCATTTCCAGTGAACCGCTAATTTTGAATGGGAAGGTTATTTAATGCATGCAGCACATTTAAATAACCTGTTAGGGAGGGTGGATAAAAGCTGACCCACTTTTTGTTAAGGGTGAGGTGAGCCTTCCCCACAAAGATTTAAAAATATATCTAGCTCTTGGATGGTGGATAGAAGGCCAGAAAATGAAAGAGGAAGGCACTGTTTTATCCCACCCCTTTCTTTTTTCCAAACTACTCAGTTTAGCCCCGGACCATATTAATAAATTGTTTCTAGAATAGGGCAGACTTCGGGAGCAAGCTGTAATCGGACAAAAAGACATAAAACCAAGGCGTACTTACTACTTGAGTCCAGGAATATCTGTTAGCCTGCGGAGCACGGTCCTATACACCAGGTGCTAAACATGTACATTTCAGTGGTGACGATGTTGATAAATACATTCTCTTTTGACAACTCTCTCCCTTACTGAAGAGTGAAAAGAGAAAACAATATTTTACCCCAATAATTTATTTTAGAACCACTTTGCTTTAAATGTCACTAAACGGTTTTGGAACATAGATTACATGCAAATACATTTATATCATTAGCAAGTGAAATTTGCCTTCCTCTTTATTTTTATATAGGAATGTGGGGGCTTCGTTTCTAATTTTAAAAGTAGTAAGTGTTTCTTTTTAAAAAGCCAACAAAATATTTAAAATATCAGAAGGATATTAAGAACCCATTATCCCGCCTTCCAGAAATAACACTGTCAACATTTTAGCGTTTTTCCTTCATTCTATTATTTGGTATTATACAAGGTTGTAAATTAACCAGAATTTGGTTAAAGACGGAACTTTACAGATACAGTGTGACTCCCTATAAACTGTTCAGTGGCTTCTCACCTCACTTTGAATAAAATCTAACTAAGCTTTCCCTACAAGGCTCTCCCCCACAGTCTCTCATTTGGTCAAGGTCACAGTGGCTTTCCTCCACATCCTCCCCATTCCTGCCTTCTCCCTAGAACACCCTCAGATCTCAGCCTCAATGTCATTCCTCAGAGCAGACCCCCAATGAGGTCCCTCGAGTTATCCTTTGCCTCAGCCCCTGCATGTTGCCTTCACAGCACCTATGACAGCATATCATTATATGTATGAGTCTGTGCAGCAGGACCACCCCTGACCTGACTCCCTCATCAGGGACCTGAGACCTAGTGAGCGCTCAGTGGTTATTTGCTGAGTGGAGGAGAGAAGGTGGGGGGGGGCGGGGGAGGGGGACAGTCTGGAATTGGTTAGTGGCTGGATGAGGCCAGGCGACCTCCTTGGATTTCCTCCTTCTCCATAATACGTTGTATTCTGTGAGTTTATGAAATACCAACTCAGGCATAGATTGACAAGCTCCTGCCACACATATGTTAATAAGCCTTCAAGATACAGGTTAAATATCTACACATCAGAAGAGGAAGTAATCCTAGTTATGAAATCTGATGTGTTTTTTTAAATGTTTATTTGTTTTGAGAGAGAGAATGTGTGCTAGCTGGAGAGAGGCAGAGAGAAAGAGAGAGAGAAACTTAAGCAGGCTCCACGCAGTGCAGAGCCTGACATGGGGCTCAATCTCACAATGATGAGATCACTACCTGAGCCAAAATCAAGGAGTCAGACTCTTAACCAAATGAGTCACCCAGGCGCCCATGAAATCTAACATTTTATTAAATTATACAAAAATGTGGGGCGCCTGGGTGGGTGGCTCAGTTGGCTGGGCATCCAACTTTGGCTTAGGTCATGATCTCACAGCTTGTGGGTTTGAACCCTGCGTCAGGCTCTGGGCTGACGGCTCAGAGCCTGGAACCTGCTTCAGATTCTGTGTCTCCCTCTCCCTCTGCCCTTCCCCCACTCACGCTCTGTCTCTCTCTGTCTCAAAAATAAGTAAGTGTTACAAAAAATTTTTTTTAATTATACAAAAATGTAAGTGTCACATGGTGCCTGTTTACATTTTTGTGGAGAGTTCCTTAACAATATAAATATACATATTTTTCCCCGATTGGATCAGTAGCTCATGCCAAGAGAACAGGACACACAGTATATACCTATAGTGTACTTTCAATATGGAACAGTTTCCAAGGAGTGTGAACAACTTGGCCTAGTATATAAACAACTATTTTGAAGATGTTCTTTGGACACAGGCACTAAGCAAATGTATGTTCAATACAGCTGAAGAAACCAGGGGAGCCCAATAACACCTTCACAGGTGCATCGACATAAAGCAGGCGGCTTGATGAGCATACGTAAAAGGAAGGCATTTGCCCCTAGATGTCACTCTTAAGAAACATTTTATAGGAGAGTAGTCTGGGACCTATTCGTTGTGTTATTTTAGTCTCGGGTGCAGCTTTATCAGGCCCTGCCTGGTGCCCACCGCTGGCGGAGCTGTCCCCACCCGAGGGCGTACCCCAGAGCCTTCACCTGCAGGCTCAGCCCTGTGCCCAGTCTCCATGCAGTGTCCTGACCTGGGCTGTTAGGAAACCTTTATTCAAAGTCTATCTCTGCTGCCATCTTGCTCTCATCTTGGATCCCAGAGTCTTTTAACTACTTCTGCCTCAGTTAATACACCTCTAGGACTGGGGTCCTGCTCCCTCCTGCCACTTGCCTTGTTGGAAATGCAA